CATGCAGCTTCCAAGATTCCCATGGGGTTCCCCAGGCTCACACCTGAACCCACAGGACCTGTCTACAGGATCTAGCACAGGACCTGGCTGCTAAGCTCAGAAGGAACATTTCTCATTTGCTTACCTGAGCCAAGCATTCTGTGGAGGAGAGTGCAGTTAGCCTTGGGTGGATTTGTGACTAAGCTCGGGGACTCCTGAGTAGCAATTAAATGTATAGAACCCTCTCCCATCCCTCCTCTCCCTTTTCTTTTCTTCCTGTCCTTTAGACTCAGAGTCAGTTCAGCTCCTGCCAAGGCAAGAGGATGTAAGATTCTCAGGACCTGATCATTTTAATGCATAGCTAGTGTAGCAGTTGATCTTGATGCCCAATTTTCCATGCTCATCAGGAAAGGTCTGCTCATGTGGATCAATTGTGCATCACATAGAGCTGGGATGTTCCCGAAGCCACTCCACGTTCTGATTCAGGAGCTTTGCCTTATTTGAACATCCACCAGCCAGTTCTATCCTTTAGTGATTATATTGGTTAAACTCATTTGCATTGTAAAAACTTGTGTGGCCAATGGACCTCTAGGGTTGAAGCTTCTACCTCCTAGTAGAGGATTTTAATATCCTGTACTGTTTAGGTTTCTCAGCCATCATGATCATTAAAGAATTTACTAGCAAAAGTAAAAATAAGTTAAGGATACTTTAATAAATGGGACAGGACTCTGGAGAGGGGGAAGTAAATGTTGACGTGCATGGTTTGTTTTCCTCTCCTAAAGAAATGAAGAGAATGAACTTTTAAATGCAGTGCCTTCTTATGCACAGCAACCCTGAACCAGTCTTCCTAGTGGTTGACGTGGGACATGTGGTTAGCTTTTCCAACCATTTTGATAAGCTTTTGTTTTTATTGTCGTCATTGTAGGAATTCCAGGGACTAGAACGGTCTCGTGGGCAAAATCAATTTGCTTTTTCTCTGTAGGTTAGTTTACAGCAGCTTCTGTTTTCCTCTCCTTTAAGTTGAGCTGCCTTTTAATCGTGCCCAGTGTGCTCCTCCTTCTCCAGAGTCAGGAAAGAGGTCCCCTTCCTTTCCCCCAGTGCTGTAGTTGGAAATTTGGTTACTGTACTAAATTTTAAGTTTTGGCAGTCATGTATAGCAGCCATCCATCTGCTGGCGAGACACACTGCCCGGGGCTTTTCCAGAAATCCCTTAATAGTCCTGAACACTAATAATATTTATATACATCGAGATGAGACAAAATTTACAGCAGGCTTCTGGGGCTGGCTCCAGAACTCTCAAATCTCAGGCGTCCGCACGCTCTCCTGCTACCTCCCTGAATCCTCTGTGCATGGCAGGAGGAGCCCCGCTTCTCTCCCTGGAGCTACTCGGACTTCTGGAGTTTGTCCTCTAAGAAGCAAGTCATCTACCCTCCCTGCAGAGCAAGTATATGTGTGTTTCTTTACAGTTGACATCGGTCCATGTAAAGGAACCCATTGATGTGGTGTCCCCTGAAGAGCACTAGCTCCTTCTTTAAGGCAATGTTTAAACGTTACTGAACGTGGTTTGGAAGTAGCTCCTATCATTTGTAGGGAACAGAGGCTCAACATACCAAGCATTTTACAGGTACCATGTCAAGTATGTATTTGTTTTTCTTTCTCATCCTGGGAAAATGCAGTATTTCCATTTGGGTATAGCTGATCGCAAGCCAGTACACAGGAATATTTTCCCCTACTTTTAATGTTCCTGGGCTTTTACTACTACATAGCTATTTGATCTTACTATCTACAAAAATGCATCATTTTCTTCCTAATGTAAGAAAAGGGGGCTCCACAGGTTGATAATTTGTCCCAGTAAATAATCTGTGATGGTAATTGTGAAGTTTCTAATCAGTTTTCCCTTCCTCCAATCACAAAAGATGGTGATGGAGGATGGCTGGGATGCACCCTGCCAGAGAGGCTGCAGCTAGTTTTACTGAACTGTGTGGATCTGTTATTCTGTGTGAGCTGCACAGAGACAGCATAATCAGCAACAAGGTTCCTCTCCTGACTTGTCATCTTCTATCCATCTGTCCATTCTGCCCCACTGCTCTAAAGCCCAGTGGCCTTTCTGTTAGGAAAACCTGACCCTTGCCTAAAACCTTGAGCAATTATCTGCTGCCCACCAATTGGTAGGCCTTCAATGCCTCCCTGAACTGTCCCCTTCCACTCGCAGGAACATCAGTGACTAGTTGCCCAGCCAGCATTTACATGTGAGTTCAGGGTGGAGGTGGGGGGTCCTTGATGTTCCTCCTCTTCCTTCTGTTTTCTGGGCCAGCCTCATCACCTCTGGGAACCTCCCTGGCATGCGAGGCCAGAAGAACACCTTGTATCTCTACTCTCCCCTACTTCCCTAGTGTGATGTTCCTTTCTTGAGGGCAAGGACTGTCACTGACCAGGATGTTCACTTGCCTGGCACGTAGGTACAGCACACACCCAGTAAATATTCACTAAGGGGACAAATGATAAATAAATTCAGGATGGATTGATTTATTCCTGTTAATGGTTTTAAAACCCCAAATCAACATATACAATGCCAATGCTTGTGGACAAGGAGTGTTCCAGAAAGTTCCAATAAATGTTTTTGCTATCCCTCTGGGCAGAACTTAAGACATACGGCCATACTTCTAGCCATGGCAGAGGCTTGCAAATACAGGAACTAAGGGGATAAGATTATGCCCAGCTGAACACCCAAATGCCTGAGAAGGAAAATAGTGAAAAGCATCCCAGTGCTCTTGCAGAAGGATGACTTCAGAGGGGAAGTGAGATTATTTCAGCTTGACAGTGTCATGAGAACCCATTGGCTTTCTTACTAGGTAACACTGCTGATTTGAATTCTGAGCCTGTTTGTAAATTTGTCTGCTTGCAATGACACAGGAATTCTTGAATGCAGCTAGTAGCTTTATACACTGATGTGAGTTTTCAGAGGACAGGCTGACTCAGCAAGGGCTATTCTGGAAATTGATCCTAATGAAATATTAAGGATGAACAGTAATGTCCTGGGAATTTGAGGGTGGATCTGATGCTAGAACAGGGTATAGCTCACAAAATAAGTGTAACTCTCGATCCAGTGCAGTGGAAGTGCAAAATGATTGTGGGATCCACAGTCAAGTGTATCAAGCTTTCTGAGTGACTTGATTCTTTCTTACACATGTTTGTGTTTATATGTCCATGCACAGGCCTGGAAGTATCTGGAAAATACTATGCAAAGCGTTGACAGGAGCTGTTTGGGGGCAAATGGACTTGCACTTTATGTTATCTGTGCTCTCTGAACTTTGCTTTTAGCATGTATTTTTAGAAGAAAAAAAACCAGAATCTTCACTCATTGATGCCGTCTTAAAATATACATATTTAAATAGTTTTGTATTATTTTCCAACAGTACATAAAAAGTAGGACACATGATGCTAAGCAGATTTCATACTTTATTGATTTGTGTTTTGTTCGTGAGTAAGGCTCACAGTGCACACAATGTACTCCTTGTGATGCTGTTATAGAAATGTAAGCTGCTTGTCTATTTGGGAGGTAAACCGTGGGTCTGTGGTTACTGTATGGGCCTTTTGCTTAGCTTTAACAGGGAGGAGCTTAGAGGAGGCACAGGCAAACAGGCATTTCCAAAGCCTTTTTGTAAAGCTGAGGGTACTGCCATGCCTACATTTGTAGCTTAATCATTTTTAGAATAAATGAGCAGTTCTATACCTTTAGTGTGCTGTCAGTGAAGAGTATGTAGTAGTCTTCCCTTATCCCTTGACTTCCTTTTCTGGAATTTCATTTAACCACAGTCACAGTCTAAAATACTGTCTTGACTCTTGGAAGAGAGAGACCACATTGATGTTACTATATTATATTTGCTGTGCTTTATTAGTAATATTGACCAACCTCATGTTGTATTAGTTTCTTTTCTGTTGCTGCAGTAAAATATCCTGACTAAAAGCATGTTAGAGAAGAAAGGATTTCTTATGGCTTAGAGTTCTGGAGTGATAGAGTCCATCATGGTGGGGAAGGTATGGCAATAGGAGTGGGAAGCTACCAGTCATGAAGCAGAGAGAGCACGTTTCATCCAGACACAGGAAGCAGAGAGAACAGGAAGTGGGGCCAGGCTATAAAACCTCAAAGCCCACCCCTTTCCAAGTACTTCTTCAGCAAGGCTTTACCTCCCGAAGGTTCCATAGCATGCATAGCATTCCTAAATAGCGCCACCAACTAGGGACCTAGTATTTGTGTCCATGGGGGGGAGTCAAACCACATTTATTATGCCTAATTTATCACCTAAACTTTGTCTCACACACATACACACGTGTGTGTTCTATGAACGATATTTCATACACATACACATTGTTCTGTGTGTGGTTCCAGGCGTCCACTGGGGTCTTGGAATGATGGCTTCTTTATACATAAGATGAGGGCTGCTGTATTTGAAATACAGAGAGCATAATGCCTTTTTTTTTGGTCTTTTTGAGACAGGGTCTCCCTGTAGCCCCAGCTGTCCTGGAACTCACTATGTAGACCAGGCTGGCCTTGAACTCACAGAGATCCACCTGCCTCTACCTCCCAAGTGCTGGGATTAAAGGCGTGGGTCACCATGCCCGGCACATAATACCTTTTAAATACTAGTGGCCCATATTGTTTATGCCCCTCCATGTTTACCTGTGCCATCAGGCTCCCTTCTAATGGGTCCAACCCCCTCTCCATTTTACAAATGAGAAAAGGGGATCAATCAAGGTTATTAGAAACCACTCACCCCAGGGCAAACCGGGAGTTCATAAGAAAGAATGGGCTTGGGATGCCTATCATGTCCTTTGTCTATGCAGATGCAAGGACAGTGCTTGTCAGTGGGGCTCTCATAGAAGGTGTGCCTGTGTTGTCTTTGCTGCACCTTGTGGGACCAGTGGTGGCAGCTTATGACCCAGTAAGCAGCTGGTCAGACTCAGAGGATGCTGTGCAATCCTTGCTTCATCTCACCACCCTCTCTTCTCTGTCCCCACAGTGTGCCCTAGTGTGTGTGGGAAGCGAGCATGCACGGAGAACAATGAGTGCTGCCACCCAGAATGCCTGGGCAGCTGCCACACACCTGATGACAACACAACCTGCGTGGCCTGCCGGCACTACTACTACAAAGGCGTGTGCGTGCCTGCCTGCCCGCCTGGCACCTACAGGTTTGAGGGCTGGCGCTGTGTGGACCGAGATTTCTGTGCCAACATCCAGAGTGCTGAGAGCACTGACTCCTATGGCTTCGTTATCCACGACGGCGAGTGTATGCAGGAGTGCCCCTCAGGCTTCATCCGCAACAGCACCCAGAGGTTAGTGGCCACCATCCCTGGGCATCCACAGGCGCACTCTTCCACGTGTTCCATGGGGGCATGACCATCCAGAGGGGTCTTGTTGTAGGGGACTTGGCTGAGCTTTACTTACGAGAATATTGGCATGGTTGGCATGTGTGGTTTCTTGTTTGTCAGTTTAAGAGCCTACTTGCCCCAGTGTCCTGAGCTCCCCTCTCCCTGTGCACCTGCCAAGCTGATGTCTGAGAGGCAGGCACTATAGCTGTAGATTCACCTCCCCAGCTTGCTACTCTAACCCAGTGAAAGCTTTGGGAGGTGCAAGAGGGAGGAAAGACGAGCCCTGGTCAGCACCCTTGAGGCAGATAGGCAGGCCTCCTGCCTCTCACTGAAAGCCTGGGCTCTAGCAGTCTAATCTGTTTTCTGCCAGCTCCTCCCTCCTCTCAAACCCTGCACTTTCACCACCTTCAGTTGTCATTGTGGCCTTGGTTTTCCTTCCTGAGCTCTGAGACTTCACTTGGGATGCAGAGGAGTTGCTGACTGAACAAGTGGCACTCTCCTGTGTGTCACAGAGACTTCCTTAAATGTCTCCTGGGTTGATGTTTTGGGAACAAGATGCTGTAGCTCTGGAGGCAAAGGAGAATCGGAGGTATGGGATGCTGTTCTCTCCCCTGAAGCAGAGCAAAGGACTCTGGAGAAGGTTGCTCTGTGTTGGTATCCTCTGTCTCCTACACTAAACACCCATGCATTTCTGAATTCCTCTAAATAGAGCTAGGAGCCTGTGAATGCAACTCAGTGGTAGAGTGCATGCTCAGCACGTGGGAGGCCCTAGACTCAATTCTCAGCATTGCAAGCAAATGGTTCTGCAAGTACAAAATAGTCTGAAAAATAAAATTTTGCTGCAGTTAATTTCTATAAAATGCATTAGACAAGTCTTTACTAAAGGGTATTCCAAAGATGTTCCTACTGTAAGCTGATTTCTAAATCAAATCAAAGATAAATTGTCTTTGTTAATGTTAGATGTAAAGCAAGTTTTTGACCTGTTAAAATTTCTGTAACCATTACAATAATAAAAAGAAAAAAAAATAAATGTTCTTAAGTAAGCCAAGTGATGCAGAGGTATATAACATATATTCTACCAAAATAAATCTGCCATATTTTATTCATGTTTTATCCGCAGTCTCTATTAGTCAACTTTCTGCTATTATAACAAAATACTTGGGGTAATCAGTGTATAAGCACAGTTTCAGAGGTTTTAGTCCGTGGTCAGTTCCTTTGAGGCTTATGTCAGGGGAATACATCATGGCTGGGAGCACGTGGTGGTGCCAGGTCATTCACTTCATAGAGGAAGGTGGGGGGATGGGGGAGCAGAGAAGGGCTCCAAGTGACTGGTCCCAGTAAGCCCTACCTTGTCAGACTTTTACCACCTCCCAGAAGCATCAAGTTGGGAACTAAGCAATTACAGGATGGACTTCTCAGGACATTCTAAACCCAAACAGTTGTAGTCTTGGGATACAAAAGGGCTGTATCAGATGCATCTTGTGCCCCAGACCAGTGCCTGGCAAGAGTTGTAGAGGCTCAGCCATAGTTCAGGCATCACCTTCCTCCGGGGACTAGGGGCAAGGGAGGGAGAACTACTCTATGAACTTGCTGTAGAATCATCTTTGACCTGCACGTTTAATTTTATATCCTGCTTGAAGGCCTTCAGCCATTCTGCAGCACCCAGAGTGGTGGACATGGTTCTGCTTCCCTGCAGCATTTTCCTAAAGAACTGAGCCAGTATTCTCCTGCCTAGTCTCATAATCTGTCCAAAACTACAGTCTGCTTTGTCCGTTTTAAAATAAAACACCATCAAACAATAAGTGTCCCTCTCTAAGCCTTTTTAACACTTACTTTAAAGTACTTTTTAAAATACTGTTTAGGAGCTGGCGAGATGACTCAGTGGTTAAGAACACTTACTGGCTGCTCTTGCAAAGGGCCCAGGTTCGATTCCCAGCACCCACGTGGCAGCTAACAACCGTCCATAACTCCAGATGCCGTCTTTTGACCTGCTCAGGCATTGCACAACAGGAGTGCACTTACATACATGCAGGCAATACACTCATACACATAAAATAAAAATAAATATTTAAAAATACTGTTTATGCTTTTTCTATATGAGTAAATTTGAGGAAGCTTAACCTATAAATATATAATCAGAACACTTCCTTATGAAAACATTTCTAGGTGCTAAATGATTCCTAGACATTGTAACAAAGAGGTGTGTGTTTATCAAAATTTTCTATTTGATGGGGCTGGAAAGATGGCTCAGCGGTTAAGGGCATTGACTGCTCTTGCAGCGGACCCAGGTTCAGTTCCCAGCACTCACATGGGGACTAACAATGTCTGTTCTTACTTCTTCTGACTTCCTTGGACATTGCACAACACAGTGCACTTACATACATTCAAGCAATACATTCATACACCAAAATAAAAATAATAAATAGAATATTAAATTTAAATATTTAAATTTTTTCTATTTGAATAAAAGATGGGAACAAAAACTAAACATAGTTTTACCTTACAACCCAGCCATGGTGACCCTGAACATTTATCTCAAAAAATGAAAATTTATGTCCATTTAGAAATATTCACAGAGTTTTATTTGTAATAGTCAGGAAATGAGAACAACTCAGTTATAAAGTGAATGGTGTTCCACATCATGGAATATTGCTCAGCAATAAAAAGAAAGGTTGAATTTCAAGAATATTGTACTACGTGAAGTATACTAGTCTCAAAAGTCATATACTTTATGATTCCATTTATGTCTGATTGAAGGTAGAGAGCCATTTATCAGCTACCAGGAGTTGGGGTACTGAAGTCTAGGTAGCAACAAATGGGTAGCACAAGGAAGGACTGTGTGCTGTTGATTGCAGTGGGGAATTCACAGGTCTGTCTACACAAATGGTGAGATGACACAGGTCTCTACACATGTCAGGGTTGGTTTCCTGTTTTAATCACTGTATTGTCATTATGTAAAATGTAAAACCCCTGGGGAAGCTGGGAGAAGGGTACATGGGCACTCTGCACTTTCTTTGAAAATGTACGTTCATCTGTAATTATTCCAAAGAAAGAAGTTTTTTTTAAAGGGAGGGTCAGGTTTTATATAATATTTAGTTAAATTTTTAAAAGCACAGCAAAAGGAAAGTTCAGGAAGGAAACCCCTCCCCGGGCTAGAAATTAAAATACTGAATGTGGTCGTATGAGAAAGTGGACCCCAACTCTTTGTGTAGGTCCCATTCCTTCAGGATTGTTTGAAAACCTTGACTGTTGGCCCAAGAGAAATTAGGGAGATGGAAGAAAAGTACTAGTTACCTGTAGGTGTTTAAACAAACAAGCAAACAAATGAACATACAAAAAAAACCCTGCATCTAATATTTTGGGGGAGGATAGAGGACTTTAGTTGAGAAACAACTATAATTTTACCATTTACCGTGCTCTTCATAACATTTTCAGAAAGTCATTCAAGAACAATAATTCGAATATAATGCCTCCTTAGAATCCCGTCCCATTACACACACACACACACACACACACACACACACACACACACACCCTACCTGGAGGTTGGGTCATTGGTCTTATTTGGAAATGGACCTGCCCCTTGACCCTGCTTCTCTACACAGTTACAGATCCTGGAAGGTTTAGCCCTGGATTCACTGTTTCTCTATTATCCCCTAAATAATGGCAGGTAAGCAGGAAGACCACCTATCTTTCCTGTCCCTGGCTTTCCTGGCGGTTTTTGGCACACTCGGGTTAGCATTTGAAATAGGAACTCATTTTAAAGCAATGGAAGTTCCTGGCTGTTACTGCACATGCAGCACAAACAACATTTGGATCAATTTAAAAGTTTCTGCAAAACACTGTCAAAAAATAATTTCAGTTGTGCTGTAGAAAGAAAATAATGGATCTGTGCTGTGCCATGTGTCTTTTGGAATTCCTTCCTGGACTCTACCAGGGCATTGACTTGAGGAATTAGACTCCTGTTATTGGCAAAGACCCTGCTGTCCCCTTACTGCCCCTGCCAGCTCTCCCACCTCCCTGTGTGCAGGCAAGGGTCACATCAGAGAGCAGCTCCATTCTTTCAGAGCTTCCAGAGCTCCTTTCTGGGAGCCTGTGTCTCCCACATAAAACCAGCTGGCTCCTCAGTTACCAGCCTATGATACCCACATGCTTCCTGCACAGATCACGTATTTTGTCTAGAAACAAGCAACATGCTTTTCCTCTGTAGGTGCTGTCCCCTTGTGGTTGCAACTTGAGCAGCTTGCCCTGGTGGGTCTGTGGATGAAATGTCATGTGACCATTGGATGCTTCAGAATGGCTGGTTCATGAAATGCACACTGTAATAACAACCAGAAAGCCTTATCCTTATATTTTTTTAATGCAAGGAAGTAAACTCAATCTTGTGTTTATCTTCAACAGCATGTACTGCATCCCCTGTGAAGGCCCTTGCCCCAAGGTCTGTGGTGATGAAGAAAAGAAAACAAAAACCATCGATTCAGTTACTTCTGCTCAAATGCTCCAAGGATGTACCATCTTGAAGGGCAATTTGCTTATTAATATCCGGCGAGGCAGTAAGTATTTCACCCCACTGGATAAATAGCTGGCTCTCTTGGTTTACTTGTGTTGATACTTTTCCTGACCCTGTTCCTGAGTCACAACCAAAATAAGGGCTTAGAAAAACAATGCGGTGTGTAAGCCTCATGCATGACGTCTCTCCTTTGAGTTTCCTGAAAGATAAAAAACAGATTGAAAGGCAGTCTGTGTTTGAGCCATTAGCACAGAATTTATTCCTGTAAAGAGGATCATCCCTCATCTTTCTGTTATATCTTACATAGGAGAGGCCTGTTCTGACATACACAAACCCCAGCAGACACTGATGGATCAGACCCATGACTCAACTCGCTCCAGCTGTGGTTGTATTCACACATTTTTACAGCTAGAGTGTTTGGGTTATTTGCCTTTATTTTTTATTTTTTATTTTATTTGAATAAGTTTTACCTGCATGTGTGTAAGTATACCCATGTGCAAATGCCCTTGGAGGCCAGAGGGGGCGTTGGATTTCTTGGACCTGCCATTACAGATGATTGTTAGCCCCCATATAAGGGCTGGAAACCCAGCCCAAGTCCTCTCTGCAAGAGCAGCCGGTGCTCTTGACCACTGAGCAATCTATCTATCTAGCTCCTTACTTGCCTGTATTGAAGAGACTGAGCAAAGGGGGAGAATATACTATGTTCAGATTCTATTAAGCCCTAAGAATGATTGATACCTCGGTTTATTTCTGAGAGCCAAAAAGATACGGCAATGTATTGCCCATGCCTAAAGCTTCAGTCTGAGCCCTGCAGATTCTCTTTGCAGTAGACAGTGTGCCTGGTCACTTGCTTCAGAATTTTTCAGTTAAAGTATTTCCCACGAGCATAGCCCCACTGTCCCTTCTCTTCCAGTCTTTGATTGTCAAGCTTCTAGATATGGTGCCTGCAGTTCTCACCACTTGGTTGAGATACTGGTAGTTTTATAAGCTAGAATAGTATTGGCAGGAGCTCTCCAGAAGAAATTTTATTTATTTTGATTTTTATTGGTAAATCTTTAGAGGAATAAAAATTTTAATTGCCTGAAGGCAAAATGGCTGATCTATTTTGTGAATTTCCTTTCCCTTAGCATGTGTTAAAAGAGTAGATTTTATTATTATGGCTTACATATAGCAGAGACAAGTTTTTGCTTTGGAGAGTTGTTTGTTTACAGATTTTTTTTTAAACAGCTCTTATTTTTCATTACCTACCCTTTTCAGTTCTACCATGTAATTAACCCTGTTCCCCTCAACAAGAACACCTCACTCTTGTGCTTATAAAGTTGTGTTCTTTTTGCTTATACAAGATTTATTAATGTATCTTCAATTTACTCGTGTCTAGGATATACCTCTTAAAATGCATAAACTTTCTTTAAAATCTCCAATACTGGAGTTTAAAAATGTAGCCTACTAATTAAATCGGTGGAGAAATGTTATCTAAGAAGGAATTGCATCTTCATGCGTGGTAGTGCAAAGGTGCCATCCCATCCCTGTCTAACACAGGAATCAGTTGACCTCATGATGATGGGGCATCTCTTTGAAGAGATGAGGTTCCCAAACCTTAACTGAGAGGTGTGCTTGTTGCCTTACATTTAAAATTCATGATTTTATTCTTAAAACATACAAAGCCATACCTAGTAGTTTAAGCTTGTCATCCCAGCTCAGGAGGTTGAAGCAGGAAGAATGCCTGCACAGGCTAACAGTGAGTTCCAGACAGGTCCGCACAATTTGATGAAACAGTCTCAAAATAAAAAGTAGAAAGAGGGGCTGGAAAGGTGGCTCAGCGGTTAAGAGCACTGACTGCTCTTGCAGAGGACCTGGGTTCGATTCCCAGCACCCACATGGAGGCTACGAACCATCCTTAACCCCAGTTCCAGGGGAATCCAAAGCCCTCTTCTGACCTCTGTGGCATGGCATGACATGGGTGCACTCACATGCATGCAGGCAATATACTCATACACATAAAATTAAAACAATAAATAAAATATGTTTTTAAAAAAGAAGTGAAAAAAGGGCTGAGGATGTTGCTCAGTGGCAGAGTACTTGCCTAGCGCTCACTAAGGTCCTAAGTTCAACCCCCACTACCACAAACAGCAAACACAGAATCAGTTACAAAAAAACCTTTCTTTTTTCAGATTGAATTTCCCTTTAATTTCTCTTAGAAAACTTTAAATGTAAGGCCTTCTTTTTTTTTTTCTTTTTTGTATCAAATCAAAGTAGACCCTCTCACTAAGTAAACTCTTCATAAAACATATGCAGTAGAATCCTATTCCATGAACCACATCTAATTCATTATAATCTTTCTTATAATTTTAACACAAGTCAAGCTGAAGTCTGTGTTTTTTTATTTACTATATGAAAGAAGGTAGGCTAAACAAGATGAAAGGAAATTCACTGTTTCTGTGACCTCTTATATTAGTAACTTTCTCCAGCTCTTTCCTAGTTACAAAAGTAATTTGTGAGCATTATAGAAAACTTACAAGATAAAGAAATGAATGATGTTTTTCACTTACTTGCAGGCCATGTGTGGTGGCTTAGGAGATGAGGTAGGAAGATCAGGAGTTCAAGATCATCTTCTGCTGCATAGTTCAAAGCCATCCTGGGCTACATGAGACCTTGTCTCAAGTGGGGAAAAATAGATAAAACAACTACCTGCACCTATCATTGATAACATTAAAGTATGTTTTCCTCCAGCCTTAGTAAGACGGACTCTTTAAATACAGATCCTGTATCTTAGAAACCCCAAGTACAGCCAAGGCAGCTTCTAATGAGCCTAGGAAAACATTTGTCCAGTGCTATGGAGGCAATACTATCTGTCTGTTGACAGAGCATATTAAAAGATGCTGCCTCAATTTGTCAGCTGAAGCTAATTGGCAGCCTGGTATTATGAGTTCACATTCTGTTAACCAGCTTGGGAACTTGAAATTTCTAGAAGTGTGCTGTCCCCTGCCTCAAAGGCCTTGTCTCAGTCAAGGCCATGGACAGTCAAGGCTAGGCCCTAATTCTATCAATCCTAATCCTAGCTATCCTCCCCATACTTCACACATCAGCCCAACGAACCCTCTAGGTAAGTGTGTGACAGGGATGATTGGTCCTATGCCAGGATACTAGGTGTCTCTCTGAGCTATCCCAAAACAAGACCTGCAGCTGAACTTTCCTCCACACCTGTTTGTATGAGCCTAAATACAATATGTCACCTGATAACAGAAGGGCACTCAGTGACACAAAACTCCTTTTTGTGTAGATAACATCGCCTCAGAACTGGAGAATTTCATGGGGCTCATCGAGGTGGTGACGGGCTATGTGAAGATCCGCCATTCCCACGCCCTGGTGTCTTTGTCCTTTCTGAAAAACCTCCGCATGATCTTAGGAGAGGAGCAACTGGAAGGGTAAATGTTCTACATTCCAAAAATAGCATACTTCTTTTCATTTTTTCAATTTATTTATTATGTGTTGGGTTAGAGATGTATGTGAAAGTCAAAGGATAACTTCTTGGGGTCAGTCCTTCCATCATGTGGGTCCACGAGATCAAACTCTGGTCTTCAGGCTGGCAACAGCTGCCTTACTCACAGAACCATCTCACCAGCCCAAGTACTATGCTTCTAAAACAATGTAACCCAAGTAAGAGCACTTCTTGTTAAATAGAAGAAAGAAGGAACCCCAGGCTTGCCCCTGCTTCCTGGGTGGTAACCCACCTCCCTGCATAGAGTCCTGTGTGCAGCCATGATTTGCCACTCTTAGGACACTGCCAGTATTCGTTCCTATGGCATCATCAGTGAGGGGATGCATGTCTATCTGTGACCACTGAGATAGCAACTAGGGTTATTCCTGCAGACCTTTCCTGCCAAGAGTGACAGTAGTCAGTATAAAGTGCTTACCTCCCAGTGCAGTTGTTATTTACCTGACCCTTACATGCCTTAGAGAATTACTTTGTAAAAACCATCCTGTGGCTCACGTGTGTTTGTGTGTGCACTTGTGGTGGGTAGACAGAAGTGACATAAGGTATCTTCCTCAATCCCTTTCTACCTTATTGTTTGTAACAGTCTCTCACTGATTCTGGAGCTCACGGATTTGGTAGACTGGCTGACCAATAAGGCCAAGTTTCCACTTCTCCTGAGATTGCAGGCATGTTATGTGACTTCTGGAGATGGAATTTGGGTCCTTATGCTGTACAGCAAGCACTTTCCAGTGAACCATCTCCCCAGCCCTGCTATCACCCTTTTTAAAATAGAGGAACTCAAGATACTTGGCAAAGTCTGAACAATTCATTTTATTATGATGATACCTCATAGAACTTGTTGATTGACTAACAGGATTTATGCATTTGACAGAAATTTTGCCTTCTGCACAGATACTCTTTGTAAGAGGTTTTAAAACAACCTTCTCAGCAGAGGATAAGCTGATACTTAATACATACTGCAACACACGGCTTCTCTCCTGCCTCTGGCCTGCGTGTGCCTTTGCGGGGTCCTTTTTACATTCACTATGACTCCTGCCTAGGTTTAAGTTAATGTTTTGAAATTTAAAGCAAACAAAAATCATCAACTGAGCAATCAGTTCCTTTAAGAAAATAACTTAGGAAGGAAGCAGTGGAACAGTTCAAGGAAGGACCGTCGTGCCAATGTGGCTGAATAAGGTTGTATCCTGTGGGTTTCTTTATAGCTTCCCAGTGTTCTCAGACTAACCCTTACTCGGTCTTGAATTTTTAAAATTCCATCGTCTGATATAGCTAAAAGTTGCTGCTCATTCCATCCTTGAAAAGAGTGCTGTTTTCCCAGTGTGAACACTGAGCCTTCAGAAAGATGCCTTCCTCCTTGCTTGTAAACCCAAAGCAGATGCTATGGCACCAGCCCCGAAGTGTCTCAGTTACTACTGTGGCACCCAGGACTCTGCCCATGTGAGGCTGTGGTCATTGCTTATTGTATTAAATTTTAAAATGAATCGCAAAACATTTTCGTTTCATTATCCACCACCACCCCCAAATAGATCTGTATTCTGGAATCCCTGGAATCAGTAAGCACTTTTTCTTTGGCAGATTGGTAGCTGTCAGATTTGCTGGTTGCTTAAGGATATGCTTTTTTTTTTTTCTCTTCTTGCCCAGCTTGAGCCAAGTGATAGACATAGAGGAGAAAGCAGAGAGGAGGCCTTAATTATTTTTATTAGGGATTATTACATGGTAAGATTGCCTTTTTGCTATGGGTTAACTAAAAGTGTCATGCACTTAAATGTAGCTGAAAATTGAAGGCTTGTTTTTTATTTTCAAGGATATTTATGGTATATTTCTAATTGTCTGAAACTCGCATAACATCTACAGTATCCGCCTGGTCTTTGTAAGGGTGCTTGTGTTTGGGAGGCTTCCCTGGAAGCTCAGAGCCTGCACTGCTGTTGGCTTTTAAGAAAGGAGGGGAAGACACATGAGACCTGAGCTTTGCCCAGCCTGGGGGGCTGGTTCTGGGAGGCTAGCTCTTTGTCTAAGGCTCTCAGCCTCCTTAACAGTTGTTTCCTCCTACCTGCTTTTACCTCTCAGTTTGCACTGTGTTTGTTTCAGGCCACCCATAGCAAAAACTCATGTCTTTGTTTCTCCTTAGTTAGGCTGGAATAGAGTTAGGCTCAATTCCTTCACCAGTTCGCTTAACTTCTGCAAGGTGGGAAAAGCCAGAGAGGAGGGAAAGAAAGGGTATGATAAGCAGATGAATATCAGCAGTACAAAGTATAACTTGCAGAATGCTACAGGAAAAGAAAAGAATGTGCCCTGGGCACCAAAAAGACAAATCTGGTGGAGAAGGTCAGACAGGCTTCTAAGAAGACGTGGCAGTTGAGATGGCCTTGAAGGGTTTCCAGAAGTAGAAAGCATGGGGGCAGCAACTGGGAAGGGGATAAGAACGAAAACATGTTGGGGCATCCTGGGACCTGTCTGGCAAATAATACTGACAAGGTAGGTGGTACTAGAATTACGTAAGGTATTGTTGCACCCAAGTGTGGACGTTGTCATTTGGATAAGCCCTGGAACACACTCAGGGCTTTTGGGGAGAGGCGCATTAAGCAGCACTGTCTGACATTTAATTTCAGGGTGCTGTTGGTTTAAGCCAGGATAATTTTCTCCCCAGGGTTTCTCAAACTTTGTAGTTCATTACAGCTATGGAGGAGGGGCTTTTAGGAAGTCTTGCTGCACCTCACCAGGTTGCACCTCACCTCAAATCAATCAGAAAACTTGGCTAAGAGTGTGAAGATTCAAGCATAAGTACTTTTCTCAATATTTCTACTTACTTCCAGCACATGCAAAGATTGGAAATGGCCACTTTGTCCCTGTAATACGTATGTCCCCAGAGCACTTTGATTTTTTTTTTTTAACTTGTTACACTACTACCCTGAAGGAATCTATTTCTTGAACCAGTGAGAACAAAATAAAGGTTTGCATTTAATAGTTCTGGAAGATGAGAGTTCTGCAGCTTGTTGTTTTGATGGAAAGGAGAACATTCCACAATGGCTGTCCAAGATGTCACTGTGGTCCTTCTCAAATAGCATCCTGAGCAGCTGGCGGGAGTATAGGTGTTTTGACCAAAGTGTAGTTTCTGAGATCTCTTCCTGAGCCTACTTAACCTGTCATAGTCATTGTAAGCCATTTCTGTAAGCTGATTCCTAGGATAGAGACAGATGAGGCAGAATCCCACCAGAACAGAGAGCAGGGTGGGCAGAGGCAGAATGGGACTCAGGCAACAGCAGGAAAGTCTCAGCCATCACTCATTCTGCAGTATTGTACATCTCTAGACTCCCAAAATTAGATATTTAAGAAAACCTAGAGGGGTTGGGGAGCTGGCTCAGTGAGTAAGAATATTTGCTTGAAGGTTTGAGTTTGAATCCCCAGCATCCACATAAGAAGCTGGGCATGGCTAAAGGTACCTGTAACCCCAGCATTGGGGTAGGCTGAAACAGATTCCAAGAACTCACTAGCCAGCTCCAACCAAAATATCAGGCTTCAGATTCAGTGAGAGAGCCTGCCTCAAGACAATATGGTAGAGAGCAGCAGAGTAAGACACTCAACATCCTGCTCTGGTTTTCACATGTGTGCACATGTATATGCACACCCACACACTTCTACGTATGTGCACAGATATAACACACATGAAAGAAAGAAAAGTGTTTCATCATGGGTAGTAGTGTGGTTCAGTGATACAGCACTTGCCTAATATGTATGAATATTGAGTCCCCAGAGTTGATCTCTAGCAAAGCTTGCACACACACACACACACACACACACACACACACACACACACGAGGGGGTGGTAGAGAGAGGAAAGAAGGAAGGAAAGTCAAGATTTTGTTTTGGGGGGTTGCTATTTGCAAAAGTCCTTGAATAAAAGAGCAAATATTTTTATTATCTGGAAAATTCTCTTATTTGGACAGCTTTGTTTTCTAATGTGATCAGACCAAATAAGTTAAAACTTCAAGTTCTTTGGTACTGTGGGAGATTATTGTCTTGAAAAGAACAAAAATACAGGAAGTTGGCAGAGTGTAAGAATTGGGATTCATAGGTACGTATAGGCATCTCTGCTTGTGTCTCTTCCACTTGACTTTGCAATACTCAAAGTGCTTGTGATGCCTTCTTACAGCCCTGAGGCTAGGCAGTAACATGATTGCACTTTAGCACTTACCTGGAACTTGTAAAATGTACATACTCAATCATATGGCGATTCTAGGTTCTACCTAGTATTTAGTTTAGAGATACACACAAATGCAAGTCTTATATGTGATTATTCACAGCAGCATTATTCATGATACACTCCCCCCAATTGCCCACTGGATGTAACCCAAGGATTCGTCAGTAAATGGGTGGACAGAGAGTGGAGCTGGCTGGGTGGAAGGGAGACTGTTTTGAATCTGAATAGTGGTGATAGTTGGACATCAGTAAAAACTTACTGAAACTGATGGAGTTATACATTTACAATGGGTAAAATTTTAGATGATAAATTATACTTCAACAAAGCTACTTTTTAAAAGAAAACACTCCACAATCTTTTTTAAAGGTTAAAACATCATTTAATTTTATGTTATACAATATTGTATAACTGTATTAATTCAACTGTAAACCTAAAAATTTACAGCCAATCTTGAAACAGATGCATCTTAGCTCTGGAAATTGTTATTGAATATGTCAATGCTAATGTCATGAAATGCTTCTTCTAATTATATGGTTATTAAATAATTTTTTTAAAGACTTTAAAAAAAAACACAAAGAGGAAGTATTTTCTGAGGATCTGTGTGGTGCTTGGTTCCACCTAGACATATATTTCCACACTCCCTGAGCCTGTATGTATGGCATGACATTGGACTTGGGAGATGTAATGTGACGTGAGCCAGTGATCTGTAGATGGGTTGAGCGCTGCCATGATGGCTGTGCTAGGGCAGCTTCTGTGTGCTGGGTTCTGATGCCCTCTAGAGACAGCTGTCAGCAGGCAGGAGTGTGTCCTTGCAGAAATCAGCAGGAATTATTGGTTGTGTATTTGCAGATCTTTCAATATATCAGCAAGACCTTGAAAGGGGGGAATATCTCTTTATACCTGTGTAGGCTGGAGTCCTCAGTCTCAGCCCCATGTGTCAAAGTGCAGGACTTGCCTGTTCTCTGTGACTTTGTTCTGGGGACTTTGACACTTCAGAGAGGAGCATAGGTCATCCCACACCTTTGTGAAGTGATTCAAAGCTCACAGTATCCTTTCATATTTAGCTCATCCAATTCTTCCAATCAGCCTCGGGGCCGGAAGAGAACAGGAAAGATACCTTCCATGTGCAGCAGAAAAGCTGCAGCCTTAGAGAAGCCACATGAACCACCCAGAGCTGGCCCCACATAAGCAGAGGAGAGGATGCTTAGGCCAGATGGGTTCCCACATGGAATGCTCAGCACCCTGTTGCTGCTGTCTTGTGGGTGCCACTCAGCTTTGTAGCACTTGTGCCTCTCTTTGCTTCTCTCTTGTCTGCAGAAGGGAGGTGGTGGCACTGGCCTTGAAGTGATCACCACAAATCATGGCCGAGTATGGGCTTGCACGCTGGTGATGTCATCTAAGTGCTAGTGACATGGCAGTGCCCTTGAGGAACCAGCTACCCCCAGTTGGTCTACAGATTGAACTCACTCAAGAAGAAGAAAAAGAACTTTTTCTCCCAACATTGAGAAAGCTAAGAGCCTAGATTCCAGTATCAATAAAACCCTAAGCATCATACCGCCTATGGGAGCTAAAGAAAAAATAAATAGCTCAATTAAAAAAACAAAAAAACAAAAAAACATTCTCTGAATGTAAAGTCAGTGCGCTTAGAAACAATTTGTGAAATCACATTTGCTGCGCAATTTTCCTACCTAGTCGTTTCCTTTAGAAAACATAAAATTTTAAGCATATTAGTATTTAGAAAGTACATAGACAGATCTCCACCAGGGATCATCTCTTAATACTCACCTAATCATAGAAGGATTTGGGGAGAAGCAAGCCCCCAAGCTGGAGTTCGGAAAGCAAGTGCAGTACTGTCAGGCAGCTCATGAAGGGCTTGATTATTATTTTGATGAGGGTTTTTTATTTTTTACCTTCCTCAGGCTCTACAATGCCTGTGTTTTATTGATATTGGTATTCTGACTCCAGCCTCCTCAACATTGTTAAAATATTTGTGTTTACTGTAAAAAGATAATCTTGCTTTTCAAAGTGATTAATCAAATACCGGCACTTCAATGTGCCTGTCATTCATTTGTCAAATTCCTGGTTTGTAATTCATGCTTCCTCCCTGAGGAAAAGAATGTTTTATTCAGAAGTATTCTGATGCAGTTCTGTTTCCTGTAGTGAAATTAGTACACTAAAAGAGGCCTTGGCCTCGATGGAGATGGGAGTTTGACCTGATTAATTGGCCCTTACATCTGACCTGGAGGCTTCACCCACAGGAGACAGACCTGGGAGCAGCCAGACCATTGGGGTTAGCATTGGTACTGTAGTCTTCATATAGAAATATTCCATGAGCTAGGATAGACTTGTGATAGGACCAACCCATTTCCACCTTCGTACCTTTCCTTGAGTTGTGTGGCTCTCCTGACCACCCCTGACCATTAGTAAGAGTGGGCATAGATGGGCCCCCAAGGATGGCAGCTTTGACCTCCCCAGGACATGTAGTCTTGTATTGCAATCTGAATTCCTTTGAGCAATGTCTTAGGTTCCTTTTCTAAGGTACAGATATGTTAGGGAGAGAGCTCTTACTGCAAGGAAAACATTGCTGGCTTGCAAATGTTTTTGTTGCTGATAGCCAGAGGCCTTCAGATGGACTTATGAGGTGCCTGGCTTGGCCTCACAGGCACTATCATTGGATTATTTGCTGACTCACTGAGGCCCTACACAGACTGATCCCCACTGCAGCCTGTGTGCACCGAGGGCATGGTGCTTGAGGAGGTCCTGGGCTGCAGGCTAGCAGGGCAGATTTCACTTCAGCTCTGACCCTCTAGACATGAGGATTCTTTTTTTTTTTTCTTTTTAAAAGAAATGTGTGTGTGTGTGTGTGTGTGTGTGTATGTGTGTGTGTGTGTGTGTGTGTATGATGTGAGGATGACATGTATATGGAGGTCAACCTTGTGGAGTCGTTTCTCCTCTTCCACTTTTGTATAGTTCAAAGAATCAAACTCAGGTCACCATGCTTGTGCTATAAGCGCCTTTACCTGCTTAGCAGCCTCACTGGCCCCCACAAGGACTCTTAAAGCCAATAGGGAGCTCAGACGTCACCTGTTATATCCCTTGTCCTAAGAGTCAAAGTACATAAATAGTGCTCTAATATAAGGAACCTGCCTGTGGCTTACAATGCAGTAAAATAATGACTTTTATGGTCCTGGGTCTTTATCTCTGAGCTCCCTTATGAGATCTCAAGGAAGTGTCCAGGGATGCTTATCAGCACTGCTGCTATAACTTGTGCCTCATTCTATAAGGAAGGTCAGACTGAGTGTGGGACAGCTGGCTAGAGGTCCTGGTTTGAGTGGAATGAAGGCCCTCAGTGGTGCAGAAGGTACCTGGTGGACACAGCCTCCAGGACAGAGCAAGGCTTGGGGGTTCTCTTTTGTACTGGCTCTACAGGGAAGCTTGCTTCTTTGTACATTTGTTTATTGGGTCTGTGAGTGGGTCGTAGAAATACCTTTGTGTCGAAAGGATCCCAGAAAGAAACTGAGGCAGGGAAAGCAAAGAGGTTAAAAGAAGGACTTGAGGTCCATGGAGAGCAGAACCCTCGCTCAACACAATGGGCTCAGCTGTTCCTTCTGCAGATGCTCAAACAGAGCTCTCGTACTCTCACCTCCCCAAGATGGGTTCCTCCTGATACCTGGTCGCCATAGATAGCTATCTCCCCTCTAGCGGTGCCCATGTCTTCCCCCTAGGGGATAGTTGAGCAGTGGAGAAGGAGCCACACCCAGCTTGGTAGACTCTGGGTCTCCAGGACTTTGCTGGAGCTCAGCCTCTGTTAGAACAGGAGTTTTCTGAGTCCAGGTGTCAGCATCACCTGTTAGTAATCCAGTATCCTAGACCTCTGTATCAGAAACTGTGGAGGTGAAGAACACTGAAAACAAGTTTTGTGCATACCAAACTTGAAAAAAACACTGTACTAGACACTGAATCCTGGTACCCTGATGGGAAATCCCCGGGAAACCACCTATTGGGATGTCTCTCTTCCCCCCATACCTCCAGAGACTGAAATGAGGGCTTCTTGTAGTGAAAGACAGGTGTGGAGGAGGGAGCAACCAGGCTGTCTCCCAACCCATTACACACTGCTGATTGGGCACGAGTAGGATTTACTCCCTAGGATAATGGCAGACTTTGCTGCAAATGTGTAAGCTGTTCCGGTTGAGTAGCAGAGCATGTCTGTTCTCTGTGGACTGATTTTAGGGGCATTGTACGTACCTGGCTCTGAGAAAAATAACCAAAGGCACATCTAGGGAATGATTCTAGGAGCATCCTCTGATGTGAGAAGCTTTATATGTTGGTAAAAGGGGTCATAAAATTAATTAGTATCCTATTGGTTTCCGTATGTTGTCCTTGACTCATCCTTTTGTCTATGTTCACATTGACTAGCTACTCTTACATAGCCCCATGAAGCAACTGTCTTGCTGGGAAAGGAAATGTGGTATGGGGCCACGCATGCAGCAGAGAGGATCTTTGTCACTGTTGGTACAGAGGATCGTTAATGCAGATTTTTTTTGTGCTTCTAGAAACTATTCCTTTTATGTCCTGGACAACCAGAACTTGCAGCAGCTGTGGGACTGGAACCACCGCAACCTGACCATCAAGTCAGGGAAGATGTACTTTGCTTTCAATCCCAAGCTGTGTGTTTCTGAAATTTACCGCATGGAGGAAGTAACAGGAACAAAAGGGCGCCAGAGCAAAGGGGACATAAACACCAGGAACAACGGAGAGCGAGCCTCCTGTGAGTGATGCATCTAACTACTGTGGCCTCTGCAGACCTCCAAACCTGAGACCTCTTCTACAAAGAGACCATGACTTTCTTTCACTTGGGACTGCCAGGCCACCTTAGCAGTACCTGGCTTTTTCACAGTCAGTAGTGGGCAGATACCTGATACATTTTCCTGAGCATCCACTTAAGTGTGCTGAACATTCAAGTAGGTTCTTACAGAGCGCACAATTAAATACCTTTTCAACAAGAGCACACAGAGTATTTTTCAAAAGGCCAGCCCGCTCCAGCCCTATGAGCAAGCTAGATCTGCCTTGCTCTCTCATGTAGTGGTCCGGAAGCATCCGAAGAAGTTGCACTGCGGCTACAGCCGCAGGTTCCCCAAGCCTCACACTCAACCTCTCTTGTCCACATCTAACATTCTAATGATACAGCTTTGACCTTAAGATCTCATAGACTAGAGCTCAGTCTTTTAGACATGCAGCCTCTCCAAGTGTGGTCCCAGGACTAGGATGTCCAAGTTTTTCCCTCTACCCCTATGCAAAAAAACTGTCATCAAAAATCTCCTAGAACTGGGGGCATGGTGATAATCTCTGCACTAAGCTGGCTGAGGCAGAAGGATCACAAGTTTAAAACCAGGGATACATAATTAAATCTGTTTAAAAAATGTTAAAGCTTTGTTTGGTCCTCCACCTTGACTTCAGAGTATTAATAGAAAAATATGGAGTAATTTCTATGATGATTATTCACATGTACACATACACACGGAGGCAGGCAAATCTGTGAATTGCTTAGCACTCATCTGCTCTGATCTTGTGAATATTCAGATTTATCTGGTGCCCTCAGGACCCAGACATGAGGTAGAGATGGAAAGCTTGTATACAGCCTATAAGCCTTTGCTCTCCTGTAGTGTCCCTTCCCTTCTGCCCATTCAGTCCATAGCAAAAGCCAGTGATCAGCATTTTCAAAGTGTTTCCCCTTAGAGGCAGCCATTCTGACCCACCAGGTCATGAATACAGCAGCCATTTCGTTTCCTTTGGAGGCACAGTCAGGGTTTCCTTTCTGAATAATACTTCAGTAGGCCCTGCCGTGTTCTCTGGATTCCAGTTGAACACATTTTGCCCAGAAAGTTTCTCAGCATTGCATTGCCTTGTCTCTTAGCTTTAGCTCCATAATGTGCAGTGAGACTCAGGCAGATGCAGGGAAAAGACAACTTACTGGAGAGCTTTGAGAGACCCACAAGATGTTGTCAGTCCACCCTTTTGTAGTTGGAACCTGGTGCAGAAAGCAGGACAGGTTTGAGGAGGCTCCTCACTGTACCTCACAGAAGCCTTGCCCTGGTCAGTGCAGCGCCTAGTCGCATTTTGGCTGGAACACTCAAAGGAATTCATATGTCCTTCTAGTTTGGTGCCCAGTTCAGACTCACTGAAGCGCCTTCCTGTGGCTTACTTGCCACATACCTGCCTTTAGTGGTTGCTCAGAAGCAGGCAGATGCCCACACCTGCGGCGCAGTTGCTGGCCTTTCCAGGGAGAATCCCTCCTGCATGGAGATTTACTGTCACTCACCCAGGTCTTCTTTGGCATCCTAGGGATGGGCCTAAAGGTAAGGCCACTTTGTTCTCTGAAGTGACCCTTCTCATGGGCTGAAAAATAGTTGCAGGTTCATGTCCCATTCTCTGGGCAAGCAGCCAGTGCAATGGACCAAACTAAAGTGAAAGAATGAATTGTAGGAGCTCTCCAGTGAAATGCTTATGCTTTTAGTAGAAAACTAAAAAGCAACCTACAAAATCCAGATAATCTTAGTGTGGACAGCCAGCTTCAGGGAAGAGGGAAATAGCACCCAGACTTTCTGGGCCTGTGGATCTCTGTCACTCATGGATATGCCTTTGCCCCAGGTGAAAGTGATGTTCTGCGTTTCACCTCAACCACCACCTGGAAGAACCGCATTATCATAACCTGGCACCGGTACCGACCCCCCGACTACAGGGATCTCATCAGCTTCACGGTTTACTACAAGGAGGCGTGAGTTTCTGTGTTTGGGGCTGTCACTCTGATGACGGGACTGGGGTAGGGATCGTCATGCCTCTGTTTGCTGCATAAATTGGCTGAATAAGGAGTCAGTCAGGTTCCCATGAAGAATCAGGCCGAGTGACCCCACTTCATCCTCATGTGTCTATCCAGTTGTCATATTATACTGTCCTAGCCCATGACAACTGCAGTCAGGGGAGTGTTAGCTTACGGTTTTTCATTGTTTAGATGATGCAGGTGTTTGATTATGTTCAACACAAAGGAAAAAAGACTAGGTTTGGGGGACTTGGAGTTTGGTTATTTTTAAGAGAATTGAGTCTATCCAAACTCTCATAAGCTATAATGCAGACTTGGTTAAAATATTGTTTCAGCCTCTCTGGTCATGAACCCCTCCCTACTCCAGAAATGCCCAGTAGGATAGACTGCTCTCTTTGAGGTTTTCCTGAACTTGCCCATTGTCTGACATTCACTGTGTGCATGGGCCTCCCCCAGTCTCTGCTCTAGGTCATGAGCCCTCTAGCATTAAAGAAGAATGAAGAAAGACCTCAGTGTCCCTATTTCCAGGATCTTCTAAGACTTTCCATATGCCATGAGATAGCATTCTCCTGCCTGTGCAACCATGGCTTATTCCTTCAGATTGCAGCTCTCTTAGGTCTCCCACCTCCTTCCTTAACCTCCAGGTGTTTCCCCAGTCTACTTACTCATCTATTCACCCAAGTGCTTGGCTACCCAAAAGGAAGAGCCAGGGTACCAGTGGCAGCATCTGGTACTCTTCCTGCTGCTGGACCTAGCTAGGGTCCTTGAAATTGTTACAGCCCATGGGAAATGGGAAGCTCAGGATGGCTCTGTGTTCAGTGCTCTTATATATGGGAGTCCCCTCAGTCTCGCATCATGACAGCACATAGGTTATATTAATGTAATTTTAAAAGCCATCGGCCAGCAACCCTTTTATCTCATAAATGTAGAACTCCTACCCAACCATGCATCTATGCAGAATCCTCTATTCTCTTTGAAAGTGCTGCCAACATATTGGTGGCATCAAAAAGTCATTTCACTAAGGAATTAGATGCTACTTTCTGAGAGAATCTGGAAACAATTTGAATAGTATGAAATACTTAAGCATTAAAACTAGCTATTACCAACCTACATCTTAGAAACCACTTTGGTTTGTCTGTAAGAAAGTCAGTTTTATCTGAAAATGATCCTTTATCAATATCTGATTTTGCATTAAACAAATATGGTTGGTTTCTCTTACTAGTTTAAAAACTGCAGTTCAGAAGACAGAAAACTTGCATCTGTCTTCGTGAGGAGCAGTGTTTCAGTCCCTGTGACTATAGAACTTGATCTCTGAGCCTGCTTATTCAGTTCTGTAGAGCATAGCTAGTGAGCTCCTGAGTCCAGATGCTTGATTTTATTCATGTATATAAATCTAATTGATGATGAGTTGTATTTGGAATTCCCATTATAGAAAGTGTGACATGCTCAGCCCCGAGGAAGATTCTTGAGAGCTGTGATATCAGAACCCTTAAACATTCTCTGTCCTTGATTGATTGTCTTTCAGACCTTTTAAAAATGTTACAGAATATGATGGGCAGGATGCCTGTGGCTCTAACAGCTGGAACATGGTGGATGTGGACCTGCCTCCCAACAAGGAGGGGGAGCCCGGCATTTTATTGCATGGGCTGAAGCCCTGGACCCAGTACGCCGTCTATGTCAAGGCTGTGACCCTCACCATGGTGGAAAACGACCATATCCGTGGGGCCAAGAGTGAAATCTTATACATTCGCACCAATGCTTCAGGTACCCACATACTAGATAAGCTCCACCATTCCCTGCCTCTTCATGATCTTCCTGCATTGCATAGGCAAGGTGTGGTTGTCCGGCTAGTGGTGAGGGGCCTGTTGTCTTTCTCATTACTGCATAGCACTGTATTGTATTTTTTTCCTATTGCCAACACCTTAACCTCTTCTGGGCCATTTTCTGGACTTAGCACTATCTTAACCATCTGTCTCTCTGCTCTGTGCCAGTGAACCCATATCCTCCGGGGTAGTAGGGTAATTCCTTTGGAATGCTGTAGCTGCCTGTGGCTGCGCTTGTCTGTTTAGGTGTAAATTTCTGGGAATCGAAGCTTTGCTGATCTGTGCACCTCTAGTGCTTATTGGTTTTCCATCTTTATTATGTCACCATTCACATTCTCAGGAGATACATAACAGGTGAAAAGCCTTAGAGTATTAGGATAGTCCAAATATGGACTATTGACTGATGAAAATATTCTTCCTCCTCATCTTATCTTCCTGTTCTAAAGTGCTAATTTCCCACCTCCAGAACCTAGAAACGTTAAAAGCAGACATTTGTGAGTATTTTCCAAGTACACACACACTAGAAGTTAAAAGATACACTTCATGTTTAAAGACACTGATTGTCTTAATACATTTTGGCTATTGCAACCAAAAACTCCATAGACTATGTGGCTTACAAAGCAAAGAAACTTATTTATCACCACTCCAGAGGTTGGAAGTCCAAGAGCACTGGCACTTGGTGTCTGGGCCAATTTCTTGGCTTGTGGAAGACCTTTTTGCTGTCTTCCAGGATCATGGCAGAAAGAGTACACAAGGGAGTCTCTGACTTTCTTTTTGTGAGAGCTCTAATGCTATTGATTAGGACTCCATCCTCATCACCTCATCACTTTCCAAAGGCCCCAGCACCTTGGCAGTTAGGGTTTCCACATTACGGATTTGTGTGGTGGGAAACATACTAGTCTGTAGCACTAATAAAAGTTCTTTGATAACAGGTTCTGTTACAGTGAATAGGATGTGTTAAAGTACCACAAGCTAGCACAAAATCGATGTAAAGGGCAGAGCAAGAAAAAAAAGATGAAAAACAAACCAACCCATTGCTTGTGTACACTCACTTCCCCCATCCCCTACCCCATTCCAGTGACCCCCTAAGCAACCACTGTCCCTGAAGTGTTCATAGAAATAAATTTGGCACAAGCTTCTGGTTTTAGGCATGGGTTGCTTTAGCAGAAGTTCTAATGCAAGGGAATAGGTTTTTCATCTTAAAATTTAGAAGTAGGGACTTCGAGTAAGTCATTGTAGAAGATTTGAGGGAAAATAGGAATTCCTCTTTATTATAGCAGATTCTTAAGAAATCTGTTCCTAGCCAGGCATGATGGTACACCCCTTTAATCCCAGCACTTGGGAAGCAGAGGCAGGCTGATCCTTGTGAATCTACATAATGAGTTCCAGGCCAGCAAGGGCTATGTAGTGAGACCCTGCTTTAAAAAAAAGAGAGGCTGGAGAGATGGCTCAGCAGTAAGAGCACTGCTCTCCCAGAGGACCTGGGTTCAATTCCCAGCACCCACATGACAACTAACTCCATTTCCAGGGGATCTGACGCCCTCTTCTGACCCCTATGGGCATTGCATGACATGGATGCACTTACATATACATGCAGGCAATACATTCATACACATAAAATAAAAATAAAAAAAATAAAGGAGGGATGGAAGAAAGAAAAAAGAAAAGAAGTCTGTTTCTTTTTCCTGAATATAAAAAGCTGCACGTGGGCTCCTGTGCTTACAGGTTCTAGGCACTCAAAATGTACTTGGTCCATCCTCTACTTCTGCTTCATTTGTGAAACCTATCATTGAAATATCTGGGACTAAATTGTTTGGGAAACCCTTCAGTGATGGAGCATCAAGCAGTTACATGTTGTTCTCTGAAGAAACTGCATTAGTCCTAATCTCTTTCCTCAGAGGCACCCCCAAGCCTTGAGTGGCCCTGATCCTAAAGCTCTTCGCCCCTTTCGGATTGTAAAAACAACTTGGTTGAACTTACTGCTTAAATGACAGACTGTGCTTCAGAAAGGCAGCCAAACCAGTGTGTTTTTGTTCTTTGTTGTGTGTGGGAGGGGGGGTTGTTTGCACTGTGGTTTTTGTTTTCATTGTTTTTGCTTTGGGTAATCTATTGAGAACAAGTCAGTGGTCCTGAGATGTTTGAATTTAGGTGTCAGTAGTAAATAAGGTTCCATTGGGTTATTATGCTCTGCCTGTAACTCATTACTTCTTTTACTGGTAACAGAAGACTTTGCTTAAAATCAGAGCTTGTATGAACTGGTTTTCCAGAGTCGTGTTGCAGCCCTCCCACCCAAGCTTGCTTATAGGATCCGTGAACTTCCATGCCCTTTGCTCCACTTTTCCCTGCAGTTCCTCTCCTGCAGATACCTGTCCACACACTGCCACTCACGTGCTCTTCATCCCCCACCCCCATCTTTCATTTTGGTGTTTTGCTGTTTTTATCAGATTCAAATTCAGAATCCCAGATGAAATCCAAACTAGACCAGTTTACTGTGTGTTAAAACACTCTGGAGAGTAGCAGTTGTGATAAGCAGAGAAAATGAAGTGTCTTAATTAACTGTAGAGTCTAAGAAATCCCCTCTAGCCCTGACCATGCTCCCATAACCTCTTCCTTGCACAGTTCCATGCACAAGTGTGTTTGTACAGAGATTATGCAGGGACAGATTTTCTGAAAGGAAGGGCTGGCATTTCACTTAATATTCTTTCAAAACAAGGCTCAGTTTTCACTTTGGGTTCTGGTATCCATTGCTGTCTCCGTAACCAGGTCAAAAGTACAGCTTCCTGTCCATTTGCATCAAGTCCCTGATAACCTTGGCCTTAGGGTCATTCCATTTTCTGAAATGTTCTTTGTTCTTCTTTCCAGTACCTTCCATTCCCCTGGATGTTCTTTCAGCATCAAACTCCTCCTCTCAGCTGATTGTAAAGTGGAATCCCCCATCTCTGCCCAACGGGAACCTGAGTTACTACATTGTGAGGTGGCAGCGGCAGCCACAGGATGGCTACCTCTACAGGCACAACTACTGCTCCAAAGGTAAGGCTATGCCAGCAGCCTGGCCAGAGGTGCCGCCGCTCTTAACTTGTCTTAGATTACCTGAGCCTTGAGGTTACACCTGTCAGGACCAGGGTTTTTTTCTCCATGGTGCAGACCAGCCCCCTTCCTTAATGATTAGTAGTGCTCACAAGCATGTTGTATGAACGTGGCCTTCATTCCCACTCTCCTCTCTTCCGAGAAGACAAAATCCCCATCAGAAAGTATGCTGACGGCACCATTGATGTGGAAGAGGTGACAGAAAATCCCAAGACCGAAGTGTGTGGTGGGGATAAAGGACCATGCTGTGCTTGTCCCAAAACTGAAGCTGAGAAGCAGGCCGAGAAGGAGGAGGCTGAGTACCGCAAAGTCTTCGAGAATTTCCTTCACAACTCCATCTTCGTGCCCAGGTACCTGTCCGTCCTTTGGAAGTGCCACAGGTGGTGCTGCATGGGCGGGCTTTATTGCTTCTCTCCCCATTGCATGGTGGGGACACAACACTGACCCCACCAAGAGGGAGCAACAAAAGATGGTGTCAGCACGGTCAAGCAGAGCTCCTACAGAAGCTAGCCTTGAAGGAAGGGGACTGCGGCTTGTATTCTAAGAGTGGGTGAGAGGTACACTGCCTCAGCCCCATCACCTCTCTTGCAAAGAGCAGATGGGCTCCTTCTCCTTACCAAGGGTGAGGGGTGGAGCACTGCTTAAATCACTGGCCTGTCCTCATAGAAACCAGTGAAAGGAAAAGCTGAGTTTAAGCCCATCTCTGTCCTCCCTCTGTTCACTGACTCCTCAGCCTGGCAGAGGAGTAGTGAAGCAAGGGGGACTGGAATCAGAGCCAGTTTTGAAAGGAACCCAGCTTTAAAACGTGGCCATGTGTCCCATGTATCCTTGATAGTCAGGCTTCATAAGCAGTTTAGAGCACTGTCCCAAGGATTCCTTCTATTCCTGTATTCCAGCCTCAGTTTCTATAAAGTGAGAATAAAAATGGAAGAAGAGGGGCCAGCATGATGGGTCTCTCTCTCTCTCTCTCTCTCTCTCTCTCTCTCTCTCTGTCTCTGTCTCCCCCTCCCTCACACACATACACAAATAAATGTATGAAATTTCTTTAAAAAGGGAAAAAGTGGAAAGGAAATGTTCACTAGCAGTATTATTCATACTAACAAATCTAGAAGCAACTCAGTTGTACATCAGTAAATGGATCAATAAATAAAATGTGGTATATCCATTCAGTGGACTAGTAGTCACCTATAAAAAGGAAAGAAACTCTGATTCATGATACAGCATGCATAAACCCTGAAAATGGAAAATGAAACAAAGCCGGGCTCTAAAGGATAAATACTGTGTGATTTCATGGGTGTGAAATATATAGAATAGGCAAATGCTGCAAATGAGCATTTCCTAGGGTGTAGAAATAGAGTGGGGAGGAAAATGGGGAATTCTTTTGTAATGGGCAGAGTTTCTGTTTGGGGCAATGAAAATTTTTTGGAAATACTGAGATTGTTGAAGCAATTGTCATTAAATTGCACACTTAAAATAGCTAAGATGACAAAAGTTTGTTACATAGATCTTTTTATTTTAGCATTTTACTTTATGACAATTAAAATAATAAGGTAGTTTTTTGTTTGTTTGTTTGTTCGAAGAGACTAGAGGAGTCCTAAACTGAGGAGCTAGTGATAACTGGGAAAGGAGACAGGAAATGGAATGGTGGCTCAGGACTCTCTTCCTGGAAGATTGTACTACAAAATTTGGAAACAACCTCAAGGCTGAAAACTGGGATTCGGGCCAGTGATGTGCCTTAAGGCGCCTGCCCACCCCAGTCCCCACAGTGCCCATGCTGCCAACATCCACTGGGCTTATCCTCTTCCCCCGAGAGGCCCTGGATTCTTTAACGCTCGTTGTGGTTTTCTTGGGTTATATCAACAAACAGATTTTAAAATGACTGGTTTTTTCCTAGTCAAGTGAATTCCTTGATATTTGTGAAATGGTCAAAGATATTCATCTCATGTTGAAGAATCAGTAGATAATTAAGACTTTTTAGCTCTAGAGGTACCGATTCCTTCTGAGGATGGAAAACCCGGCTGCTTGGTGGCTTTCTTTCCCTCCCTTCTCTCACAGTTAAAATCATTAGAGCTTCCTGTAGCAGGCTCTGTGCCCCGCCAACCCCTGCGCACACAGGTGATGGCTCCTGTTGCTTGGCAGGTTGCCAGGCTCCAAGTGTTAGCCTTGTGATTCAGTATACTGTTTTCTTACCCACTTTACCTGTATCGTGCATGTTTCCTTGAATCTGAAAACCTAAAGACTGGAAAGAGCTCAAAGGTGTTTGAAAACTGGAGCCCAGAGACCTCTCTGACATGCTAATTAGTTTACAGTCCAAGCCTTGGGCCTCATTTTCACACACCAAACTTCTTCCCTTCATGGCATTCCTTCTGCATTGTTCAATTCATCCTGTGTATTTATATTAGAGCCAAAGATAAATTCTGTAAAGTTGTTTGTTGATATTTGGTGGTAAGTGCCTTTCACCGGCCACTATCTTTATTTTTCAAGTCTCATAGATTGTTAAAATGTTGACGGATGTTAAGAAGGAGAAGAGTTTCCAATGGGAGCAGGTTACTTCATGGAGTGAGAAAAGCTGTTGGCAAAGAATCATGTCTAGGCCATTCTGATTAGACCATCCTATCTAATAATGCTGTCTTGCCTCTCTCCCCTAGTCCCTGGCTGTGTGTTCACAGTAACTGCTCTTCAGTCTGTAAAGTACAGTGTTCACAAATAAGTAGATTACTGAGTACACTTAGTAATACAATCCCAGTTTGATGGGGGTGACCCACAGCAGGGAGTGGACCCACTATTTTTTTGCAGTAAATCAAATCCATGCAACTTCGTTCTTGTCAACATATTATTTTAATATTTTATTTATTATTTTTATTTTTTTATGTGTATGAGTATATTGCCTGCATGTGAGTGCACCCGTGTCGTGCAATGCCATGGAGGTTGGAAGAGGGCTTCGGATTCCCCTGGAACTGGAGTTAAGGATGGTTTGTAGCCGCCAATGGGTGCTGGGAATCGAACCCGGGTCCTCTGCAAGAGCAGTCAGTGCTCTTAACCGCTGAGCCATCTCTCCAGCCCCTTGTCAACATGTTTGTGTTGTGTTGATTTTGAAAGGAAGGCAGGAAATTTGTTGGCAGTGTTTTGAAGATCTCCCTAGAATTGAATGTGGTTTCTTGTGTTTTTCCTTCTAGGAAAGTAGGTGGTTGGTTGGTCAGTCTTTTGGTTTGCAGGGTGTGATCATGGTAGACTACTAACCTCATTTCCTAACTCCTCCTTCCCCAGTGTTGTGACAAGTACCCACACCTGGCCTTGTGGCTTCTGAGTTTCAGAGTAGGCCTCTGCATGGGCAGTTCATGCTTTGAGGGGGCTTGCCATAGGGCATACAAGGAAGAACCCATGCTTTTGCAAGGGAACAAGAAGACTGCCCTCTCCCTAGCTCTCTGCCTTCCCCTTCTAGATGTTGGCCTAGGACTAGCAAAAGGCCTAGGACATGGTTTCTTGGGTACCTCCCTCCATGTAGCCCCCTCTGCTGCGCTCTCCCAAAATCGAGACTGATGAGTTTACATATGCTAGGATACCATGTCTTGTACTCTTAATTTTCTTACAACTTGTTCCCTCACCCCTTGCCCAGCCACAAGATAAGCAGTACCAGCAATAACCTCAACACCGTTTTCCCACTCTTCATCATGGCTGGAATGAGGGTTGCTGGTGCCTCATTGGGGTACTGGTCCAATGTTCCATTTTCTTTTTGTGGTCCTATATATGTTAAAAGCCTGTTTTAAAGGTTTCTTGGGGAAGCTCGCAGCTATCTGTTCCTTTGGCTTTTCTGTTAATTCTCAAGCCTAACACAAGCTGATGACAATGCCTCCACCACCCCTCTCAAAGGCAAGACCTAGGAAAGCCACTACTTGCTAAGCAGGATGCAAAGGCAGGCTTGATGGAACTCCAGGACCATGGCACACATTAAGGAATGGGTGGGGGCGCATCAAGTAGTAGGGCCTCAGCCCCCCAAGGAAAGCCCTGGGCTTTGGCACATGCCAGCTGCTCAAACCAGGGCATCTTTATTTCACATTTCATCTTTATTTCACTATAGACCTTTGGGTCCCCTCTTTTCTGTCTGTCTTAGGCCTGAGCTACATACCTCACCTTTCCCTTTATCAGTCTTACTGAGACTGATCACTTTGTTCTGGTTTGTCCTGTTTAATGCTTGGTCATCAGGTCTGTGACCAGGTGGCACTGGCAGTTTAATGAAACAGCATCCTGCCTGGCCGAGTGGCCGAGGCGTTGTTTATTTCCAGGTGCCACTCTCTTTTCTGTCTGTCTTAGGCCTGAGCTACATACCTCACCTTTCCCTTTATCAGTCTTACTGAGACTGATCACTTTGTTCTGGTTTGTCCTGTTTAATGCTTGGTCATCAGGTCTGTGACCAGGTGGCACTGGCAGTTTAATGAAACAGCATCCTGCCTGGCCGAGTGGCCGAGGCGTTGTTTATTTCCAGGTGCCACTGAGGGACCACTCAGGCCGTGTGTGTGTGTGTGTGTGTGTGTGTGTGTGTGTGTGTGTGTGTACACGCATGCAAGAAATGAGAGAGAGAGCTGATTCTGAGGGTACAGAGTAAAGAATGCATCATAAAGAAGGAAATCCCCATGTTATTTGTTGGTTCTTATCCAAGGAGCCTGAATAGTTTCTTTTATTTCAAGGTTAGGATTTTTTTCTTTTCTGTTACTTTAACCCTGGCCAGAGAAGAGACAAAGAAAGCAAAAGCACTTACCAGCTGAGCTTCTCTCTTCCTTGTAGACCTGAAAGGAAACGGAGAGATGTCATGCAAGTGGCCAACACCACCATGTCCAGTCGAAGCAGGAACACCACGGTGACTGACATCTATAATATCACAGACCCAGAAGAGCTTGAGACAGAATACCCTTTCTTCGAGAGCAGAGTGGATAATAAGGAGAGAACTGTCATTTCCAACCTCCGACCTTTCACTCTATATCGCATCGATATCCACAGCTGCAACCACGAGGCTGAGAAGCTGGGCTGCAGTGCCTCCAACTTTGTCTTTGCAAGAACCATGCCTGCAGGTAAGGCAGGTTGCCCCTCTGGCAACTTGCAGCTTGAGAGAGAAGGCAGAATCTTGTGGATATGGGACTGTGACCCCAGGTTGACAGCCCTTAGACTTGGCCCTCCTAAGGACTATGTGATCATTGGGATGCAACCAGGTGCCCAAGGAATAGAGCCCATGCTCTCGGTGCCCACTCACATCCCAGCCTCCCCATGGAAAATGCTCATAAGCTTCCTACAGAGCTCTCACTCTTTTGTTTGGTACACATGGTGCACTGGTACATTCCTGTGCCCGATAGCACTTGCCCTATTCTTTTGAACCTGTACTGAGGCAGTCTATCATGGTAGGAGTTGTATGGTGAAGGAAACCTAGTCTCTTCATTGTGGACAGGGAGGGAGAGGGGAAGGGTTGGGTTCCCAATGTCCCCTTCAAAGGCAGCTCCCCAGTGACTTAACTAACTTCTTTTAATGAAGCCCCACCACCTAAAGTTTCTGCTGTCTCCAGTGGTGCCGTGGGCTGGAGACCAAGAACGCATGACCTTCATACACATAGGTCTTTAGGGGACACTCCAGATCCCAATCCAAAATAAAGCAGCTGCCTTGATTCAGAGTGAGCATCATTCCTCAAAGTGAACGGGGGCAGCCCATGGGACCTGCTTGATTGGCTTCATGTTTCTCTTGTAAGTTAAATACTGCCTGTCACCCAGATAGCCACTCTCCTGTCTTTGATTCTGGATGAACTCCCAGTCCCCCTTCTTAGAGGAGGTATCAAACGATGGAAAGAGCATGAAGCAGCGAGAATTGAGGGGAGGGGAATTCTGGAATTGGTTCTGGCACTCACATGCAAGCCTTATCCTCCAGTGCCTCAGTTTCCCCAACTCTTCTAGCAGAGACAGAGACCAGTTTATCTCCCAAGGCCTTTCTTACGTGTTACTTTTCACAGCTTTGGTTCATCTTGTTGCTTTCAGAAGTGAGGTCAACAGTAGCCAGGGGAGTAGATGGTGATAGGAACTGCTCCCTTGCCTTTGGCATGGGCTTCCTGGCATCCTTACTGGCCAACTCTGTAACTGGTCCTCATCCTCACATGGGAGTTGCAGGTGCTGTGAGGATGTGGGCTCCAGAGGATCAGTGCCACAGCTGGAGACTCAGCACACTACTGCAGTTCACTACTCTCAGGGCTGCTGTGTTTGGTGGGTTCATTTTTTCAAGTGAGAGAAGCAGATCAGAAGAAAGTTACAGAGGTGGCCAGGAGTGTCCCTCTTGTACCCAGTCACACGATTTTCTGGTGGGAGCAGGACAGAAGAGAAGTGCTGTGGCATCTTAAGGTGACAGGTATCAGTCAGGTCCAGTTCCTAATCCTCTGCCTTGTGCCAGCAGCCATCTCAGGAGGAGCCACATGGTCCCTATCCAGAGTCCTGGATGCATGGATTGGGGAAAGAGTTCCTCTCACCTTAGCTCACTATTTGTCTTCCTGAGGACCTAAATCCAACTTGCTCACTTGTTTACATTGTTATACAGAAGGAGCAGATGATATTCCTGGACCAGTGACTTGGGAACCAAGGCCTGAAAACTCCATCTTTTTAAAGTGGCCAGAACCTGAGAACCCTAACGGATTGATTCTCATGTATGAAATAAAATACGGATCACAAGTTGAGGTAAGACAAACTGTGGCCTGCAGCTGCATGTGTTTCCATCAGTGTTAAGAGCATGTGCTGCTGTGAGCATGTGTGAAGAGCATGTGTGAGCATGTTCCCAGCTAAACTGAGAACACTGAGGTTTGTTAAGTCCGTGAGATCTGGGTCTTCCCAGCAGCCCCACACTCTGTGACTGAGCAGTAACCAGAGTGCAAGATGCTGGCTGCTTCTCACTTTCAAACTATTTCATTGAATGCTAGGAATGGTGGTACATGTCTTTAATCCCAGTACTCAGGAGGCAAAGGCAGGCAGATCTATGTGAGATCAAGGCCAGCCTGGTCTACATAGTCAGTTCCAGGCTAACTGGGGCTACAGGAAAACTCAGTCTCAAAAAGACATATACAAGGGGCTGGAGAGATAGCTCAGTGGTTCAGAGCACTGTCTGCTCTTGCAGAGGACCCGGTTTCAGTTCCCAGCACCCACGTGGCAGCTCACAAACACTAGTTCCAGGGATCTGATGCCCTCTTCTGGCCTCTCTGGGCATTGCATGCATGTGGTGCACTTACATACACATGTAGGTTAAAGTCATACACATAAAATTAAAATTACTACACCAAATTGATTTCATTGAAGAGGGACCTTACAGCAAAAACTAGATACATCTTAATAACTTCAGTCTTCTGGACTTTGATTACAAACATGTTTGATTACAATTTTGAGAGGCCACTTGAAGACTTCTTTAAAGATGTAACTTCTTTATATTGGTGACTGTGACAGTTATTAGGCAGATGTTGGACAGCTGGAGTTACCAGCATGATGAGTTGAACTGGCAGCTATGGGATCTCTCTTGTGTTTGTGGAAAGTTAACACATATTTCATTTCCCTAGGATCAGCGGGAATGTGTGTCCAGACAGGAGTACAGGAAGTATGGAGGGGCCAAGCTTAACCGGCTAAACCCAGGGAACTATACAGCCCGGATTCAGGCTACCTCTCTCTCTGGGAATGGGTCATGGACGGATCCTGTGTTCTTCTATGTCCCGGCCAAAAGTAAGGCTTGCTGAGAGAGAATCATGGTAAAACCAAAGCTGGCTAGGCTAGAATTCAGGAGGCCTGGGCTTCTGAGGCTGTCTGATTTTCTGGTAGTACAGATAGATCTGGCCAGGTTGGGGAGATGGCTTAGTTGCTAAAAGTACCTGCTGTGCAAACTAGAGGATCTAAGTTCAGATCCCCAACATAAGCCAGGAATAGTGGTGGTATGCTTCTGCAACCCTAGTAACTCTGAGCTGGGCAGGCAGATTCCCAGGGCTTGCTGGCTAACCAATTTTGCAAGAAAAAACTGAAGAGATCAGTTGTATTACATGATAGCTATAATTGTGTAACTACTGCTAAGAAAGTAGGTTCTAAGTATTATCACAACAAAAAATGCTAAGGATATGAGTTAGTGCTTATATTAAAGAAATTATACATGTTTAAAAATATGTTGTACATGATAAAATATGTATATATAATTTTATATCAATTAAAATTAGAAATTTTAAGACTCCTGTCATCCACCTAGTCAGTACCAGATGTCTAAAGATATATATGAAGCCTGAAATCCTCATAGTGACAGATAGTGAAAGGATGGAGGTGACTAGAATTGTAAACCATAAGCCAAGATTCTATGTACCTGCTGCTACATTCTGTCCACATTTGGGTTTTAGGAGTAATTGAGATACTTGGAGAATTTTGTCAGTTAAAATAATCTGAATTCTCTCATGGAGTCCAGTTAAGCTAGTCTTACAAGTTAGCGTATGTGTTGACTCTCCATTGCTGTGAGAAAATACTTGAGATCATTCACTTAAAAGGAAGAAAGATCACCGTTTGTAGTGGTGCACTCCTTTAATTCCAGCACTCAAGGAGGCAGAGGCAGGCAGATCTCTGTGAGTTCAAGGCCAGCCTGGTCTACGTAGTGAGTTTCAGGCCAACTGGGACTACAAGGAAACCCTGTCTCAAAAAATAAAATAGACCAAAGTAGAAACCAAAAAAAGAAAAGGAGGAAAAGCTCAGAGGTCATAGTCAGTTGACTATTTCCTATGAACTGTGGTGAGACTTCTGAGCATCATGGCAAGGTTGCATGATGGTACAAAGCTGCTCATCTTGAGTTCTCTGCAGCGAGAAGAGGGCCAAGTCCTCCAGTTCTCTTAAAGGGCACCCCCCAGTAACCTAACTTCCTCCCACTAGGCCCCCACCTAAGGGGGGGTTGCCACCACCAGTAGAGCCACAGAATGGCAACCAAGCCTTCATTTGGGCTTTGGGGAATCCTGTCCTAACCACAGTACATTTTGCCACCTTGCCAGCACAGGAGCCCTAATATTCCTGCATCTCTCTCCAGACTCAGTAGCGATTTTCTCTTTCCCTCTTCCCCTCCCTTTCTGCTTGTTCCTAAGGAACAGAGTCTAGGTCTGGGAATTTGGCTATGATCTGAATTAGTAGCATTGGTTTATGGTGCTGAGTGAATTTGGCTTCTCTTGGGAGAGGGCAGGTTCTTGCCTGTCTTTGCTGTTCTGTTTGTAACCCTATGAGGCCAGGATGCCACTAGGAATCCAAGAGGCTCTCTGATAGAGCTTCTCCAGCAGAAGTTGGCATACCCCACAGCAAAACTGAAGCTGTATTCTGGCTTTGCTGCTGGAAAGCTTTTCCTTGTGTCAGACAAGACTCTCCTGCTACAGTTCAGTCTCACTTCTCAGAGGAGAGAGAAGTTCTGGATGCTTTCTGGCACCTGTTCTTTTTAGGAACTTTTCAGGCGTGTTTGAATTCTATTAAATTCCCCTTCAGCCTTCTCCCCTCTAGATTAAATATTCTCAGGTCTTTTGGCCTTTTCTTGAACAGCAGTCGCATAGACCAATTTTCTAGCCATTTTGTTCTTCTGGATGAGTTCGTTTCTCTGTGTCCCTGTTGAAATGTGAAACTCAAAAAAGAAAACAGTACAACCTGAACAGTAAGTAGTATCAGAAATACAAATATAAGAAATAGTCCTTAGGGAAGAAAAAAGAAAAGCTTGCTAGCTTCCCACTGGCAGTGCTATCTTTGAGTATTTTTGAGGAATTGGATGTAGTAGCCTGCATTGATTTTTGAAAGATACTTGATTTTGAAATAGGCTTAATTTTTAGATTAAGCTTTTTTGATTCTGCTTTTATAGTATTTCAAAAATAAGAATAGTTTTTGTATTTTTATCTAATTTTTGTGATTTTGATACAATATAGTTTGATGACCTTTAAATCTGCCCCCCCCCCCCCCCCCCCGGAGAATAGTTTTTAGGGACTTAATCATAATCATTGTTTAGTGACTTATGACCCATGTCATGTCCCCAGTGAGCCCCAAACTCCTTTCCAAGTAGACATTTCTATTTGGGTTTTTAAACTCAAATAGAGTTTATTTATTATTGCTGAATATGTGATATATGCACATGTGGAGGTCAGAGAACAACTTTGTGGAGCTGATTCTTTCCTTCCATTTTTATGTGGGTTCCAGGAATTGAACTTTGGTCGGCAGACTTGCAAGTCAAGCACTTTTATCCATTGAGCCATCTCATCAGCCCCAATGTAAACATTTCTTCTTTAGTGTTCAGTGGGTACTGCAGGCTCCGTGTCACAAACCTAAAACCCAAATTGCTGCCTTCAAAATGCCTCCATCCTTTTCAGTTCCTTAATTCTGTTGGTGACCTCGTCACCAAATGGTCACCCAAATGAGGACTCTCACAGCTGTCCCTCTCTTTTCCATCTCTCCAGCTACTTAGTTTTTCATTTAGTTTAAGTCTTACAGAATCTGTCTGTTAGATACCTGGAATCCAGCCTCTCCATTTCCATGCCCACTACCATTAGCTCAGAGCCTCACAGTTACTTGTATCAGAACTGTTAGGAGCTATGTCTGCAGGCTCCCATCTTGGAACCCAACCTACCAGTTACCAGTGTCACCCTGGGAAAGCTAGGTCATCTGTCTGATCTTGCTTGTTTATAGAAAGGATCTCTATCTGTGGTCTGAACTAAGTAGAACACAGTATACTCAGGGAGAGTGACACATTCCCCAACTCTTCCCACAGATAACAGTGTCCCCAGCACCAGTCTGCCATCACATGCAATCATCTCCCAATATATGAGTCTGACTAGTAAACTTCTGGCTTTGAAAGAGTTCATTCTCCTTTTAGTCTGCAGATGGAGTTAAAATCACTTAGCTTGCAGTAGCCCTTCATCAGCTGGCCTTAACATCCCTCCAATGTCTCCTGCAGGCCATCCTTCTGTTTGGGGATGCCATTTACCAGACCGAAAGCATACCTTTCTCTGCAGGACTTAGGCTGAAGGATGTTTCCGGCTGGGGTAGGGGGACATGGGGGGGTGGCATCCTGTGCCTCCCATCTTCCTTCCCTTCCTTTATGCATTCCTGCTCTCGCTCTCTCTCTGTCTCTGTCTCTCTCTCTCTCTCTCTCTCTCTCTGTCTCTCTCTCTCTCTCTCTCTCTCTCTCTCTCTCTCTCCGTTTGTGTGTGTGTGTGGTTGGGTGTTTTTTATTTTTCTCTTCCTTGGGGCCTCTCTCTCTCTCTCTCTCTCTCTGTGTGTGTGTGTGTGTGTGTGTGTGTGTGTATGACTTTTCTCTACCTAGGGGCATACTGAGTTCTTGCATCTGGCAGAATTTTCAGTGATAAGGATCTGAATGCCCCACCTATCATCTGTCATACAAGTACTGGTGACAAGTGCTCCTGCAAGCTCTGTGACCTCAGACTTGACCTTGTTTCTGATATTTGTCAAGAATTCAGAGCAACATTGGCAAGAGGGACTATCGTGTGTGTGTGTGTGTGTGTGTGTGTGTGTGTGTGTGTAACTATCTTAAAGATCAGTGTAGTCTCAGCAGTATATATATGGCTCTTTTATTTCAGCAAATGTGTGCATTTCCACTAAAATGCATAGTTATTTACCTTCAGTCCATCGTTTCGGCTGTTGTATCTGCTATTATATTAGTACTTAAAAACAGTATATACTTCAATCTATATTTATTTACCTTTTTTCCCAAATAGTTCAGTTTGCTTGCTGTGCTAGTTCTGCCACTATTTACCTTAAGAATCCCCTTGTGTGATAGGGAAGAGAAGGCATTTTCAGGACTGGTTTTGTCATACTTCCAACTAAGATAAAACTGATGAGACAAGCCGATTATTCATGTGGTGACATCATATTGTTTCCTCCTTGTTTCTGCAGCAACGTATGAGAATTTCATCCATCTGATCATTGCTCTGCCGGTCGCCATCCTGCTGATCGTGGGCGGGCTGGTGATCATGTTGTACGTCTTCCATAGGAAGAGGTGAGTGCCTGGGCCAAACAGAATGATTTCTGTATCCAAGTAGTTTGATGGCTTGAACTTGAACAAAGGTCATCTTTGGGGGGACATACAGATTGGATAATGTGATTTCCCAGTCAAATGTTCAGCGGAAAAAGAGAACATTTCCTAATGATTTAACAATAGCAAAAAAAAAAAAAAAAAAAAACCCCCCCACTTTTTCTTTCGTCCCCCTCTTCCCCTTACTGGCTGTTCTGGCACACACAATGTTGGTGCCACGA